TTCATAGTCAGTTAAGTAAGCGCTGGGCCAGTTTTACTCTCTCTCTTGCTCCTGTGCATGTATTGAAACATGAGAAAAGTTTCCATTTCTGGGGAAGTGCATGTTGACTATTAGCTGTCACAACTGGACTAGTTCAATCCTGGAGAAAATATTGGAAGAGTATTTAAATCCTCTTCCCAACAGAAAATACTGAACTCTTCTATAATTTAGAGGAGAGAAATTTAAAACTCAGAGCTCAAGGCAGTGCCTGCTTTGTACACTCTCCCATGCTTTTCTGCAGTACAAACAGTACTTTCTACGGATTAAAGCAACAGATTTTTTTCATATCTGAGGTCTCAGACAAGTCAGTTCAGCTCTCTGGGTGTGTTTGACATAAAATAACCAATGTGTAGCACAGGGCTCTCTGTGAATTCAGTTAATGCTCACTCTGAATATTTGAACACTTGTATGAAAGATACCAAGTAACCTCTGAGTTTTTCTGTTGCTATTTATAATCACTTATTATTCATTCTGCAATTATGTGTTGATTTTATTGTGTAGTCATACTTTCTGTGTGAAAACTCATGGTGGGAAATAGCAGTAGAAGTTTAGCTGTACCACAGGATACGCTGTTCACACCAGCAAAGTATACAAAATGTATATGGGAGGATCACAAAAGCATCAGAATTCTGAATTAGTCATTATCATGAATACAAACTTCTATATTTTGCATGGAGTCTGAGATGTATTTAGGTTAGACTATGGGTGTGTTATCCCTATTAATAACCTAATAGGAATAAAATAAGCACATGAAGTTAGATGAAAAAGAATGGATTCCTCAAATTAAATTAATAAAAACTTGGAAGAATTGCAGTTTGTGGGTGGATTTTGGGAATGAGGCAGAAGGGAAAAGGAGTGTAAGATGAGCTCACAATTATGCTCCAGGTTTAAAAAAAATGAAACCCCAAAACCTACCACCACCTGAATACCCCACATAATCCCCAAACTATCTTTCACAGTAATCCTCTGTTTAAAAAAATAATTCAATAGTATCCTTTTTTCTTCTTCAAAAACAAATACTGTGTGTAATAATATTATAATTATATGGTAGATAATAATAATATTATCTACCATGCTGGTAGATAATAATCACATGGACCTATTTCACATGAAGTTACTGTTCTGCTATCACTGTACCAGAGTCCTGAATGGACAAAGGACTCTGCCTTGGGAGCAATGCTGAAAGGGTGGAGAATCATGGCTTGGAATCTGGCCAAGTAGAGGAAGATTCTGAAATGGAAAAAAAAATGCTGGTGTAGAGAAGTCCACTTTAGATTTCCTGTAATTCACCCAAAGGAGAAAAAAAAAGATATAAAACAAACCATGACATCTTGCTGTGCTTTATAAATGCAGAAACTACTCAGAAGTTCAAATTTACTGATAACTAGGGTATTAGAAAAACACATAGAACATTAATTCAGTTACAGCAGCTCAAAAGTACTGATATAAATGTTGTAAGATGAGCTATGAGAGCAGAAAGCAATGATCCATTACAGAGTAGGATGTAAGGGTTACAACAATCCAGCTGTTAGCATGAAGAAAACACTTCTAAATAAATGCTTCCATTGATACACACCAAATTTTCATTTCTTAGTACTTCCTGTGTGACTGTTATGCAAGTGCAGGCTTGGCTTAAATAACCAAAGTATCAGGATTCAGAATGGAATTACTGAGCTTTAGGGTGGATTGAAAAGTACGGTTTCTGCAAGTCTGCATAATGCTGACTCACACTGATAGCCTCACTGATCCTCATTAGCCCGACAGTTAAGCCAGGAAACTTCATCCATGAACCATCACATGTGGGAAGAGCTGCCTAAGACACTGCTATGCAACAACATGCAATTCTGCCTTAAACACTGAGGCCAACTTGAAAACTGGGAATTATGTGTTCTCTATGAGTATGCTTTCAATTTTGTAGCCTCCAGTCACCTGAAAAGATACAAATAATGCAGTTTAATATTAAAGAAGAGCAAAAGTGGAGGCAAATAAATGCCTAGTCTGTTTACCAGATCTCTCAGATTCCAGAACTACTGATAGTTTTTTGGGTTGTTTCAGCTTGGGTATTTTCAAACCAGGAGGATTAAAAACCAGTAGAGTCTACTTTACTCCTTTGGCCAACAGACTGAGAAACTCTTTTGCTCTTGCTCTGTTTTACCAATACTTCAAAATTCTAATTCCTGGAGGTTTTTTTTACATTTTAAGCTGGAGGGTTTGTTTTCATTTTAAGCCATGCTTTTTAAAAGAATAATGGTAGGGAAGTACAATCTTTTGCCAAGCCTCAAAACAGATACATTAAATAATTTATACAGAGCTGAACTTAACATACTCTATTAGTCAGATCAAAATCTAAAATTTATTTGGTACCCACTCTTCATTCCTATTCCCTAAGAGCATCTTTCAAACATTCACATAAATCCATCAAGAACAAAAAAACCCCAGACCTATGGCATGCTAAACTTCCTACAATGAGTATACTCCTGTTAAGCATTCCCGAGGTTTTTATGGTTAAGAAAAAATTGAGAAAACCCTTGTAATTATTTTTTTTTCTTTTTTCCCCCATGTGAACCACAACTGAATTCTTGTAATCAAGTCTTATTCAGGATGTAGAGTGGTATTCAACTGCACTCTTGATTTCTTAACTAAAAGTTTATTGAAGAGCAACTGCTCTGAGGAAATCAGCAACCACCTTTTAGAGAAGCTTCAGGTAATCTCTTAGTCTTATAAACCAATTTTGAGGCAGCAGGAAATGAAAACAAAAAGGAAATGATGACAAGTACTGTAGATCCTAATTCCAAATAATAGGTGACCATGTCCAATAATTCTGCAGTAACCTACCTAGGAAAGGAAAAAATTATAAGAAAAATATTTACTATATGGATTAGCAGTGTAATAGCAGACACAGATGGCCACATGCTGAGGAACATGGGAGTAGAATGATAAGGCGTGTGTGGGAAAAAGAAGCAAAGAAAGAAGTATGCATGCTCTCTCTGCAGCACTAAAATGACATTGTGCAGCTGTGAGGACTGAGTGACCTGTGTGCCTAATCCAGAACAGAGAAAGGGAGAGAGGCCACCCTCCTCCTGAGAGTGGGCTGTATAAGCAAAAAGGAATGCTGCTTCTCATTTCTGTACCCACATTTCTTTAAAATTTCTTAGTTGCCAGCTAGTTCGAGCTGTAGATGTAGGTTTCACAGCACATCCTACCATGTACTTTTTAATTCCCCCAAATGCCTCCCACTGCAGTAAAACATTTTCTTTCTAACCAACATCCCACAATCACAATCTGAGTGCATAAACAATCTTACTGCACCACTGCTCAAACACTAAATAAATAATTTTGTGAATGAAAACCTCACTAATTCTTTTTAAACCAAACTGGAGGGAAAGCTTGTGCTAGGATCAAAGCCTTTACTTCAGTGCAAGGGGCAAACTAATGCTCCCATACACTGTAATTTATTTTTAAGACTATGAGGGGAATATTATGAAAGTATAAAATACAAATATCCACTGCGTTCCTAACGTAGCACACAAGATTTAATAAATACAGCAACTGTCAACTGAATGGTTGCTGCTTTTTGAGAGTTTAGTTAGACAGAATTATTCTATCAGTCACTGCTTTTATTTTCTAGATCTTCTGGAGAGGGCAAGGACAAAGCTACATCAAGAGTGCTCATCATTTCTCCTTATTTCAGTGAGTCCTTGAAGTTTTGATGAGCCTTTGTTATATTTAAGAAGCTGTACTCATGATGAAATGGGAGGCTGCTGATAGCCTGATTCTGGAACAGGCTCACTGAGGAAGATTTCCCTACAGAAACAGCAGAAGCCAGACTTGCCCAAGTTAAAGTGCAACTTCATTACCTTAGCTTAATAATTTTAAAATGCTGTGAATGTATGATTTAGCAGATGTGAGGCTTAACAATTTTGTGAACTTGTTTGCATTTTTGAGTGTCTCTGCATCACGAGTGTGAGCCTCCGCCTGAGGTGCAGCGACAGTCATCCCAAATAACCTGACTTCATGATTTCAGTATCCTTCAGAGCAGCAGATTTTTTATCATCCCTGGTTTTCACATCAGTGCCATGTACATCAAAAAAACAGTGGGAAAACCCAATAATTGACATTTATTTCACTTGGTTAGTTTCACAAAGTAAAGGTTAGATAAATGGTTTGAGAGAACTGATGAAGAGTTACATCATGAATCTGCAGCTGGGATTGCTCCAAGTGGCACACCTTTGTGAGACTATCTGCCATTGCAATGATAATTAATACTTGGCAGTATATCAGCAGATCGTGGCAAGACAGCTGTACACCTGAATTTGCCTTTGACTTTTCTGCATCAGCATCTTTTCATGTCTTTGCCTTTTCATGGGGAAGATATTACTGCTGCTTTTTATTCCTCCCCATCTGATGACTCAAACTCACAACGACATAGAGATGAAAAGGCCTAAATGAGACAAATATGCTTTTCCTTGCATCCCCCTCTCCACACTGCAAATGAATGACAAAGTTTATTTATTAGGTATTTGGAGACTTTTGTAGTCCTTTTGAATCTTTTCAGCAATTTCTGTAGATTTCACAGAACAGGATGTAGTTTGCTCCTTCCCTATACAGCATAAGGAAGTGACCTTGAAAAGCTTCTCCTATAAACCCATTGTCATCTGTTGTTTCCTTTGTTCTTCTTAAAGCATCTATTCTTGAGCTTACACTGAAGCATCTGCTCCTATCCAGTCTCCTACCCTGGCTTATCTGTATCAGCTTCTTCAAGGGATTCATTCCTGTCCTCATCCAGGCCTGTATATACAGGCTGCATGTTTTATATGTGTATTTACAAATAAGAATTCTGCGCAATTCTTTATCCAGCAAGAACCCCTCTACAGAGACTTTAAGTGTATTCTAACATATGCGATTGAATGAGGTTAGCTCTAGAAACCACTTTCTAACTTTCCCTGGGGAGGGGCCTGGATGTGATGCAATTTTTAGGAAGAGAGATCAATTTTCACATTTCTGCACCAGCTAGGATTAATCCTGCTTGTGTGCTACAAGTGTCATGCTGCTTTTTTATTTCATTAATACACAAAAATCATTGCAAAACATTGTTAATATTTACCATGCATACAAAGAATAAGAGAAAAAAAATTAAGCAGTACATTGTGAACACAGTCATAAATGCTCCTCCAACTTCTTACCGAATTAATTAATTTTACTAAGAGTAAACTATTACCAGAGTATTGCACTCCTTGAAAGAGAAAGAATACATTTATTTCAGAGAAAATAAAAAACAAATGTATATTATGTGGAAAGTTCCATCAAGCAATAAAATGGCTGCGAATTACTTTGTTCCTCCAGTAAATTTCTGTCTATGTTCTCCAAAACTGCAAAACATCAGAGAAATCAAAATAAGCAAATCAGCCATCCAGAAAACCTAACTCAGAACCCAGTACAACCCCACATATTTATTTTGTTTGCCTCTGTACCACAGTTGTTTTTTTTTTGTTTTACTTAATATGCAACACACAGAAAAACAACAACAACAACAACAAGGCTGAGAATTGAAATAATACTCTAGTTCTCAGTTAATTACATAGTAGTTTGTAATTTGCTCCTCAAGTGCAATAAAGTAGAGCCTAATTAGTAACTATTTGCACCTACATCTAATGGTAACTGCAGAACAAGATGCATAAGCAAGTCTATTGTTACAAACTCAGGTGGATACACAACAAAAATTGGCAACAAAAATTCTGAAACAAAGGATGCATAGTAGTTTTTCAGTAGTTTCATACATAACACAGACAAATTACTTGAGCTACAGAGGAGGAAGAAAAGGAGCATGGTCAGAGGCTGACTAAAAAGTCTGTTTAGTCCAGTGTCATCATTTTATTGAGTTTTGATCTTAAGGGAAAATCCAGCAGGAACAGTGGCCAGTAGTGAATTGTTAAGAATAGGAACAGACTAGAATAACACCTCTCCTGTGTGCCTCCTCAGACCTGGCCCTCCACTCCTGGGGTACACAAAATGTATACACCAAGCAGTCTCCCAAAGTAAGTGTTCATTTCTTAAATTTCCTATACATTTTCTAAATACTGGCCTGAATGCTGTAACTTACCGAAGGCTCAAGGAACTGCTTTGGACTACAACAGTTCTTCTCCCACATACCAAAAAGATGAGTAGAAATCCAACCAGGGATGCAGTTCCCCAAGTGCAGAGCCCTTCTTTCAGCTGAGTGGGTGACAGCCCCTTAACCAAGCAGCATTTTGCAGGCAAGTATAAAAAAGCCCCAGCCATACTCTTGGAAATGGGAGAGAAAACCACCTTATACAGCCAGTCCTTACTTACCTCATTAAGAGAGATGCAATGAGGGCAGCTGATTGCTAACAAGTGCTTGAAAGCACTGTAGTAGATTTACCTGAAGCCTCCCTACTACCAGCCTCTATTAGGCAGATAGTAATGCAGCTAAGTGCTACTCCAGACACAAAAGCACAAAATGTATCATGTTCTGGAGGCGAAAAGTAATAAAATGTCTGTGGGTTCTGGGACTCATCTAAGGAGCTGTGTAAACTCATACTCTTTTGTCATGGAGATTTATCACAGACACACAGTCATTTTAAAGCACAGAAGAAGATTTGTTCCTCTCTAAGTTGACCTTTCTAAGGGTAGCTCTAAGGTGTCAATGTGTGCCTTCCAAACATCAGTGCTGGAAGAGGCCAGGGGTTCTTTCTGATAATGTGTATATTAAGCCAAAGCTTTTACCACCTCCAGCGAGGACGCACAAATTTGTTAGAACTTTTTTTAACTGCTCCCCCCTAAGTATGCCAAGCTAGTAGAGATAATCAGGTTACTATTTACAAAATTATTCCATAGACACTTCTTTCTGCAGGATGAGGAAAACCTATTTATTCTGAGGGTGGGTTGTTTTTACTTGTTTTTTTGTTTATTGTAATGCAGTGTTTACAGAAGAAAACATCAGGAATCCTCCCAGCAACATGTACACAAGGATTCATTCAGTACTGCTACTGTGAATTTGCCAGACCAGAAGTCCAAATAGAATTGCATGTAACATTCAAACAGTGATTCATACTATCATTCTACATTAAGCATTTGGAAAGAATATTTTTTTCACCTTTGAAGATTGTGCCCTCAATTAATATGGTTTAATGAGATTAATAAATATTTGAAATAAAACCAAAATACAAATAGATAAAACTATTTTTATTAAAATATCCTGCCCCAGCCAATGATGCCAACTGAATTATGCTTATAAAGTTGTGCTAGAACAATTAAGTGTCCTCCTTTCCCCATCTCTTCAGCATACATAAGGATTAGAATTCAGTTATGAAGCAGCAGCATAGCAAAGTCAGAAAAAAAGTAAAAATATTGTTAGTGATGGCATTAGACCCCAAGCCTTTAAAAACCAATGTTATATCTGTAGTGTTACTAGATGTATATTCTTATTTCTGGTTTTCCAAAATTTCAGTCTTTGAGAAAAAAATTAGTAAAGATTTTTTCTGGACTTGGTATTACATAAACCTCCCATTCCATGTGTCAACACAGTTTGGTTCAGATAGAGTATGCTGGGGCAGAGTAGCAAAATTTTAGCATCCAGAGCATGTTTCTGACTGAATAGAAACAAGTACATAAAAAGCTTTTGTCTTTTCATGTGCATATGACCTCTACCACTGTAATATCTACTGTACCTATAGCTTTGAGCAAAAATTACTTTTTTTTTTTAAACTCTGTTTTTCTATCCATAATCAAGTAAAGGTTTGTTTTCTGCTCAGCTGAACAGGTGGCTTGACAGAAGTATTGCAAAAACTGGTTTGTATTTCTGCTTATAAACTTTGCAAGCTGGAAAAGCTTACTAATTCTCCCTGAGCTTTCAGCAATCAAGTAGCACTGTGCAAACTACACACAATGTATGACATGCAGATTACATAAGCATAATAAAAAAGCACAATATACACGTTCAGACAGCCAAAACTATTTCATTTTCATCCCTCACAATTACTTCTCTTGACTAAATTCCGCCCATGCTGTACATGAACAGAAGAGGGTCTGACAGTCCTGCAGGTTCTGTGTGGCCCTGACTTAACATAAAGGAGACTCCAATTCCAGTTCCAGTACCAGGCTTGGTAATAATCAACCAGGTATGAGTTTTCTTATGCCAGACCAAGAGCTGCCTAAGCTGCCTATCCAGTAATAGGCTGGACATAATGTCTCATTTCATTACCTTGCTTCCTTTTTTTTTTTTTTCTCAGAGCATATAAAAGCTTCCAAATAATGCCTGCCTCTGCCAGACCAATTCTAGACTCCATTCTCCACAAATAATCCTAAAATTATGAAAAGCTGTTCCAGCCCAGGGGCACAGAAAATTACAGAATGTGTAAATACACCTGCATGTAACTCCCTGGAAAAAGGTTAGTAATGGTTAAATTGGGATAAAATTTTAAACACAAAATTTTCTTCATAAATATCTTCACCTGATGTAAATGATATTATAAATTTCTCTACAAACTAGAAGAAAAAAATCCCTACAAATAAAAACCAAATGGGATGGTGATTCTTTTCTCTTCAACCAAATGCAGGCTGTGTTTTCTTTCCCTCTGACTTAAAAAAGAAGGGCTTTTCTCCAAACTGTTCTCACCCCCAAAGCTCTCTTTTCCTCCAAGTAAGACTATAAAGTGCAGGGAATGTAAATGACGAAATATGACAGAATAACCTCAGAACTGATGAGGTTCAGGCAAGGATGCAGGACAGGAAGCATTCAGCCCAAATGACCTACTTCCAGAACCTTTTTGCTCGGCAATGACACAGCTATACTGTACAACAGCAAACCCAGAGACACCAGTAAGAAATGCTGACAAGAAAGCCATCTCATTGTGGTAAGTCAGGAGAAAATTAATAATTGGATCTACATTATCTTTTGTTTACTTTCAGAATAGTCAAAATTAAATTCTTAAGGATCTGTTTACTGATATACACATTTATTAGCATTGCTAGTTTAAATTCTTTAAGCACCATCTGTGAGCTCCCAGAACTTAAAATGCACAAGAAGGAGAAAAGGACACATCTGAGTGCTTTGACCACTCCTCTAACTGTCCAAAATGATGATCTGATTTCTTTATTTGAAAACAAATATATACCATAACAGAAACAAACAACACAAAACCCAACCTTTTCCTGGTTTTGCTAGGAGCCTTCTTTGAGATCACAGAAAACTGGAATTAAGACTTCCTTACTCCCACTTTTCTAACATGTTCCTTTATTTAATTGATTGGATCATTTTCAATGATTGGAAGTGGTAGAAAAAAATTTAAAACTAATTCCTTTTTTAATTTTTTTTTTTAGTTAGAACTGTTTTTTCCCCCTTGTTAACTAAAAGCTTAGTTAATATTAAGTAAAATTTTAGTTTACATTTCATAGCACTCAGCACTTGCCACGAAGATAGTATATAGAAGTTCTACCATTTCAAATTAAAAAACCACTTAAGTCATCTCAGGATTTTATACCTTGCATTTATAAATATAAAAGGCTCTTTCCTCCTTCAGGCAGACATTTAAAGGAAATGCGTTATGCAGAAGTAAGGACATATCTTCAAATGGCAAATATTCTTGTGTAAAATGGCTCAAAATGTCCATGAGTTAAAATTATAAGAATACTAGAAAGTGCACTCCTCTGCTTTTCTGTTCCTCTTAAAATTGAGGATATTATTACTAAACAGGTGCAAGAAAGACTGATTGATTAATTAATCAGGTAATTCGAATTCCAATTCCAGGGAAAGGAGAAGCAGCATTGAAAACTAATGTGATAAATAATTTGCTTTTACTGTTTAAAATGTCTAAGAAACATTTTATGAGAAAGAAAATTAACAAACTAAGAGGGTAAGACAGTGAAGTTAAACCAAGAACTCTTTTGTTCTCACTGAACAAGTTTATTCTAGTCATTTCAAATCCTGCTGTAAGCTTAGCTACATAATTAATGAACTTTCAGACTAGCAAAGGAATAAGAAGGCCATTTTCCCCCATTTTTTAACATCTATCTCAGTCTTCTGAAACACAATAGCTAAATTTTAACTGACCAGAGAGAGCAGGGTAGAGCCTTTGCATATACTTGATATTAAAACAAAGTAAGCACTTTCATCGTGATGTATTTCAGTGTGTAGAAAGTCTTGATATGCAAAGAAGAGTATTTCCTGTAAATTAGAATGGTTAGAGAGATGCTTGCAATTAATACAATAAGAAATATGCCAAAGACAAGTGTGTCCACTACTGCAAGGAAAGTGTGTCACTGGTCTGACTTAGAATTATATCCAGTGTTAGTGTGCCAGAAGAAAAAAAAAAGGGGAGAAAAAGGTGGTGGTAGGAGAAGAGATTCTGCCAAGTATCACATCTTCAACATCCTTGCAAGCTGAGGTAAAACCTAATAGTACATTTTAATTTTTATCACAAAAAAGAAGGAGAACTTTTAAAAACAGCTAAACAAGGTTTGTATTTATGTTACACTGCAAAGCAAACAATGGGACTAGACAGGTGTGTAACAACATTTTAATTTTTGCATTTGCATAGTTTTAAGTTGTATTTTAAATTCTGGCCCAGAGACTGGCTTTATAAGACTGATTCCATTGACTACTACAGGAACCTTGCTAGATTTATAGAACCATCTGCTGGTAGAAATCAGTGGCTATTTTATGCCTAACTAAATTTAAAATAATATTTTGTTCCACAGATAGGCATATATTGCACAGAGCAGCCTGCATAACATCTAAAATGTGGGCTGATTGTCACCTTGGTGTTGGTAGGAAAACAGTTGCCTTATCCAATATTCCACAGTTGTGTGAACAACATGTATTTTAGCATGATTTCTATTCACAGTTTAAGTGAATCATTTCCCTTTTAATTCCCCACCCCCATCTATTCACTTATACACAGATGAGCAAAGCACTTTGATGAAAGTAGGTTCCGGAATAGACTAAAACTCCAGAATTTGCAAGTTTATTTCTGCAGATAGGAATGATATAAAACAAGGAGCCAAAAAAGAAAAACAAAGCCTTTATAACAGAGTGTGTATTTGCTTATTTTAATCATTCTTTGATCATCACTCCTCCCCCATATCAAAACAACGCCAAAGAACCAGACAGGGATAATATTAATGCAATTAGTCCAATCTTCGTAAGAGTATGTCGCTCAGAACCTCACACTGGGGAAAATATTCTGTGCTAATGTACACCCTATGCAATGCTACTGAAAGCATTGCTCAGTACTAATTAACATTAGCATTATTGATCATGATTGATCCTGTAGCATCCAAAATACACTTTTTTGCCAGTACATGTATTTAGATATGATTCTGAGATAGTTGCATCCTCAAATAAGAATGCTGTAGGATGAAAAACTGTCTGAACAAAATCTGCCTACTTTGAGCACTTTTTCTAAAAAAAATACTGTTACCTTTATCCTCCTGAGTCTGAGATAGTCCTTCTCAGAGAATACCATTTTTACATGCATATCCTTAAAATCAGGAGTTTGTCAGTCAGAACATAAAAAATGGGCTTTAATCAATAAAAACAGAAACACAATTAGCACTGAAGGAAAGAGGTTGTTGTTCATTAAATACATTCCAAACAAGTGCCTATAAGTTCCGTCAGGTTTGAGTCCTAAACATTTTTCTCTAGAACAGATCTGTGTCACAAAAAATGGTAGTGTTTTCAGGAGGTTAACCTAAAAAAAAAATTAGCATTGCATCATATGTACTTCCCTGACAAACAAACATTAAATATTTTTCACTTACAAAGTGCAATGACCTATTTCTTCTTTCTGGGAGAAAGGTGTCAGTGTTGGCATTACTGGATAATGTTTTGTCTGCATGTATTGCTACATGTGTTATGATGTGTATTTTTCACAATAACTTAAATATTTCTTGTTTCAATTAAATAAGCCTTACTGCAAAGAGACGGATTTGATATTTTTATTCAAAAAATGCAAGAAAATGAAAGATCCAACATAAGGAGCTTTTCAGAGTACATCAGTTATTGTATGGCAAGTCCCCATAGCCTCAAAAACGATGTCATATAAAGGTACTACTTATAAATGAGTATTGGGAAGAGGGAAATAAGGTTTGTATTGACACAACAAATTATTGATAGTCTGCTAAAGCAACTAATTCTTACCATTTTTAGGTTCTGTTAAGTCTTGGGATTGCAGTTTCTCTCAAGTAGCACAAGGAGAACAATCTGAAAACAATTTTAAAAATTAAAAATGAAAAAAAATAAGTAATTCCAACTGTCGCAATAGTTAAAAGGTATTTTTTTGCCAGCATAACAGTGGGTGAACCAAGTATAAGCTTCAGTGGTTAAGATGAAAGTCATGCAAATTATTCTAACCACACATATGCTTATATATCATACATCTGTGAACTTCAGTGGTCTGTAGGCTTAAATATAGGACAAAGGAATCCCTGGTACCTGGATTTGCAGAACCCTACGCTATTCTTAGCACTGGGTATATTTCTAACCATATGTAATGGTTAACACAGGTAAAAAATCAGTCAAGAGGACAAAAACCTGTCAGTCTGTGTTTACTGTAATTTGTGGTCCATTGTTCCCAGGCATACTACTAAGTGTGGGTTTTTTGCAATCAAGGAACAAGTATAACACAATGCAACAGCCCAGAGAGTAGGTATTTTTGGAAATGGCACTGCATTACATAACCCCCAGTTTTCTCCCTCTCTCTATTCCACACACACCACCTATTTTAAACAGGGAGAAAAAAAAAAAAAAAAAGAGTAGGTCCTACCTCATTTACCTTAAATTATCACGATCTTAATGGACTGAATTTGTAGCATATCTCCTTTATCAGCTTTCTTATAGAAACAAAAATTAAAAGTTCTCTTCTATTGATTACATGTTTCTTACCTATAGCACGTATGTATGAAATATAATTAGGTATGAGTCATATGTTTACACAAACACACACATACATATTGGATTTAAAACTGCAAACTCATATCCATAAATACACACAGAAATGTTTGAAAAAAGTAGCATGTCACTACATGTTCAGCAAAACATGGCTTGTTTTGGCTTTGTTGTTTTGTTGCTTTTTTTTTCTCTCAAAAGAACCACCCAAAATTTAACTGCTGCACATGCAAAAATGCAGAAGACTGTTGCAAGAATGACTGCTTTCTAAAAATAAACCCCAGCAGCCTGAGAGGAATCCAGTGTCAGGGCGGAGAAGAGGGAGATTCGTTTTACAAGGGAGAAGAAAGGAGATGATAAACCTGTCCTAGAGCCTTGCATGCATGCTAACAAAGCCAAGTGCATTAGGTTCAAAAATGTATTTTGGTGCTTGCGGAGTGCAAAACCCAGAAAAAGGAAAGCATTTAGAAAATCACTTCTCATCTCCCCTTGCATGTGTGCAGAAAAATCCTCAGCCTAGAAATCCAGCCTTAAAGCACAAAGACAAAGAGTTAGACATATATACTGCATGTTTCCTCATTTTCCTTTAAAAAGCCTGCTTGGAAATGTGCACCGAGAGGGGAAAGCCAAGCTGCAGCAAAGTCCAGCTAAGGACAGAAAGAAATCAAAAAGAAATTAAAAGAAACAGAGAAACAGAGAGAGAAGAAAGCAGAAAGGGGGGAGAGCGAGGGAGAGAGAGAAAGGGGATTAACTAAAAAAATAAAATTCTGTGGATTGGAATTGTATATACTTACAGACAAAAGCCCCCGCTCCCTGCTCACTTTCTGTCCTTTCTACATGATCTGAAACACAAATGTGGATTACAAAAGGGCAGCATGCTACAGAAGGGAATTTATAGTTGGGGGAGTGGAGAGAGGGTAGGGGGTGTGGGTAGGAATGACTGCACCTCTTCCAAAGTGCAGCCTCGGAGGAAAAAAAAAAAAAAAGAAAAGAAAATCCCCTGGCCAAATGCACTTCACAAGTCAGTAACTAACACAAAACACAACTTTCTACCTGATCTGTATAAATTATTCCCAGCATGGAAACAGCTCCAGTGCACAGCATGATTCATTGGAGTAGTACTACTGAGTTTGCACCAGCCGGGCTGGGTTTTGCTTGCCAGCGCTGGTTATATTGAACAATGAGCTAATTCTGATGGTAGCTGGCCAGCTGCCAGCTCCATCCCCCCTTTACACACACACACACTCACACACACACACACATACACACACTCCCCCTGCCCGCCCGCCTCCCCCCGCACGATGCTGCAGCGCCAGACTGCTTAGTCTGCAATAATCCCCAGCTCCGCGTTCCCCCCGCTGTCTGGGAGCCCCGGGGCAGCGCCCGCCCCGCCGCCGGCCGAGCCCCGCCGGGGCAGCCCCGGGTGCGGAGAGCGGGGCGATGGAGCGGGGCGATGGGGCGATGGAGCGGGAGCGGGAGCGGGAGCGGGAGCGGAGCGGGCTGGTTCCGGGCCGCGGGAATCCCGCACCCCTGGGCGGCGGCCAGCCCGGGCGGGGAGCGCGGCCAGCACGCTGCGCAGCGCGGAGGGGCGGGCGGGGAGGGGGGCAGGCAGAGCGCAGCCACGAACTGTAATAATAACCCTGCAAAGGGCATCTGAGGAGAAGGAAGGGAGGCGGAGGCAGCCGCCCGCCCGCCGGTTTGCCTCGGCCGTGCCTGTCTGGGAGGGGAGAAGGCGGTGGGCGGGGAGGCCGCGGAGCGCCGTGACACGGGCGGGCAGCGCGGGGCCGGGGGCGCGGGCGGGAGGGGAGGGGAGGGGAGGCGCGGCCGGGCGCGGGGGCAGCGCGGGATGGCGGGGCTGTCACCGGGGCTGTCAGCGGGGGGTCGCACCGGGTTTGCAGCAGCGGGGTCGCGCCTTGTGCCGAAGCGTGCGCAGCGCTCCCCAGCGCTGCCGGCAGGGACGGTGGACAAGCGACAGGGACAGACGAGCAGCGTGCGACAGCGCGACACCAATACTCTGCAGAGGCTCCCGCTGTGCAGGCACAGGGGAAGGGTGCGGGTTAGGGACAGCGGATCGATCGATGGAGGGACACGGCGGTGCGCTGCTCCACGGGGTCTCACTCAAATGCTGTACAGGGATATACAGCCAAAAAATTAGAGAAACACGTGGAAAAAAGCAGATTCCCTGTTACCCCGCAGCGTGTAAAAGTATCTTCCTCAGAGTTAATGTCCATGGCAAGAGAGATTAAAATGGTATGAAATCATTTGTGATGCAGGCTAATAGAAGATTAAACCTTTTCTGTCAGGCCTAGGTTATAAGCAACTAACCTTGTTTGTGAAACCCACTACTATTTAACTACCTATAAAACTGCATTATTCTATGGTCTATATAGGATTTCCATTTGTTGAGTGCAAGCAGTTGGCTAGCATGTCTCTGCCCCTTCTTAAACAGCTACTACATCCCTGTGAATGCTTTGCAGGCCTTCAGCAGCTGGAAGGGAGAAATATGGGACATAAACAGTCCCTGATATTTAAACCCCTGGTTATCTGTGATAATAATTCTATGTTTAGTGCATTAGGATCAGATCATTTGCCTTAAAAATACAGTTACTACTGCTCATGTCTGTTCAGCTGCCTACCTCCTCCACAGATTTCACCCATCAGCTGTTGACTGAAATGCATCAGAGCTTGAATGTTTAAACTTTATCTGGAGAGAATGATTTAATTGTCCGGGGGGAAGGGGTTCCTGAGTAACAAATATGGGTCCAGTGCAGGTAGCAGGCCCTCATGGCACATGCCCAGATATGAGCAAGGGGCTCCCTTTGCCTTTGGTGTATCTTCTAACCTGTAGAATATATGTCCTAGCTCGTGAAATGTCAGGGACTCACCACTTGTAGAGATTTGGCACGGTGGAATGAAGGTAGACACCAAAGACCTGACTGTGGAAGGTATAAAGCTTGTGCTGATGAAGCCTTCAAGAGGCTGAAGTGGACAATGATGTTCTACAACATGGAGGAGGGAATGAACATATTCTTTTAGGGATCCATGGCAGAAAAATGGTTGCACTAAGTCATAGTTGCAACTGACGGTTTTTATTCTCAGAAGAATAAAGTTAACTTTCTATATTCTGACTCTCATAGCAGAAAATTTATTGCAATCAATAAGTCCTGGAATACAAAATTTCTAATACAGCTTAACTTGAAATTTTTCATCACCTAGATCCTAATTTAACTTGTAATTTCTATTCACCTGAACTCTCTGCAGAAAATTTCCTGAAAAACTGTGGAGAAGGGAGATATAAACTCCCAGTTAGAGCTGTTATGTCTTTCTCCATTCCCTGCTACCTCAAAACCACAAATGCCCAGTTTCCACAGTCTATCTGTAGTCCATCCTCTGCAACCCTTTTGAGAACTTACATCCTAAAATTCCTTCTGGAACATTCCTTCAGAATGGCTGTGGATAGGTGTAAACCTATCTTTCTGAGCCCTTTTAGCCTTAATCTCCTTTCCAATGACCTGGTTTTGCAGCATGGGTAAGCAACCTGCTTTGCTGTGCTGTGTGTATGTGACTGCATGTGAAAAGTTATACCTGTTTGCTGCCTGTAACAAGCTATGTTGATAGGATCTGCTCCAAGTCTGCACTCTCTAGTTTGGCTTTAGTGTCTGCAGTTTCCTTTTTCTTAGCCAGCTTCCCTCAGCAGCTCTAATGGAAACTAAAAGCAAAGGTTTACCTGTTAAGAGGAATCAGAGGGCAAGAGCCTGAGTGGGAGAACAGAAGGAGGCTGTTTGGCCTCATTGTGAGGCAGGAAGAGTTTTGGAAATGCAATTACACTTCCAAATTTAGGAAGGCAGAAGCCTAACATGAACCCCAGACAACCAAGAGCAAGACCAAAAGAGGTTAAGAACCAATTCAAGCAAACTGCTAATATTGAACTAAAATATCTTTGAAAAAATAAAAACACTTTACTGAAATTATTAGTCAAGAAGTATTTTTTTTTTATATTAGGTCTTTGTCAAGGTGGCAAGGGCATTAGGATGCTGAGAAACACTCAATAGGTGAGCAGCCTATTAGGGGAGAATGTTGCCCTTTCTAAAATGCTCTCTTGTGATGTAGTGGAAATCTTTTTGCACATGCAGTTCTGGCCTTCAGCCTGGCTGGGAATCCAATACCAACATTCCAATGCTCTTTTAATCTTTAATCACTCCTCTAAAACTTCATTATTACAAATGTGACACTCAGGTAGATTGTCCTGCTGTCCTGAGGAAAACAGGTTTAACCTCAAGCCTGATTGTTACACCCTGTGGTTACCAAAACCAGTCTGACTTTGTTCTGCAGTCAATTATAGATATGGAGAAAAAGTGTGCTCCTTTTACTGCCTCTCATCTTTGACAATTCCCTTGGATTCCTTTTCTCTTTATTTCTATCTTTGTTCTCATTTATAATCCCTAGAATTGATAGAGTTCTGACCTACAAAGTATTACTGTTATACAAATAACCTAAAATGGGCCTGCAAAGTGGACAGAGCAGAACAGGCCATTATGGCTGAGGAAAAGGTAAAAGCAGCAGAACAAAAATTTACTGTTATAAAGCAGCTGAGAAACTCTATGGCTTGCAATGCATAGACCTAAAAAAGTCACCAGAAAATCACTCTGAAGTTGTGCTTTCCAATTCTGATAGGTACCAGAGAAATTGTGGGCTGCAGTTCCCAGTCTTCTCACCTCTGTCCTTCAGCCATCCAATTCCAACACTGGGCACAACCCACAACACTGCAAGCCTCTGGTTTGGAAATCCATCAGACTCAAGCCTGCTAGAGGTGGTTGAGAGCTGCCTGGTCCTGTGATGAATTGGTTTGGAATTGCCTGGAGCACCTGAAGAAGGAAGGTGGTTAGAAGGTGCACAAGATTCTGGGTACAAATGAAATCTTGGCAACTGGAGCCAGATCATGCACACAATTCATTGTAAACCCATCCAAATCCCAAAATTCCATTATATTTGCTTGTGGATTTTGTGAATATGCAGTAGCCATTAGTGGTACCTGCATCACTCCATTACTTACATGGATAAGTCCTAAAAGCATCACAAAGAAACTCACCATGTGGGTGGAAAGATAAAACATATATTGACAGTTTTCCTTTCTTTCAAATTCTTCAGTCACTTGTGCTATTCCTATTCTTAAGTTCTATTCATCAACATATGAATCTGAGGAAGAAAGTGCATAAAAAAACTTGGAAATATTTAAAAAAACATAAAGGAGGCAATGTGGATTATAAACTAGGTATGAGAAATTATGTGTGATGTTTTTTGTGGCAACAAGATGGAAGTTAGAGCAGAAGACTGTTAGCTGAAGTTTTAAGAAGACACAAACTGTGGGTTGTATTTTCAGCTTAGTTTTCTGGGAGATGGATTCAGTAGGTTAGTTTTTCATGCATAACCTCCAAATTTATGATTTTTGTTTTCATTTCTTTTTATTACTAAACAAAATGAGGTATGTGTAAATAACAGAAGAAACCAAGTTTTCTGGAAAAATTCCAAATAAGGACAGCTTGGAATGGAAGAACCACACATCAGCTGCCATACAAACAGGTTCACATTTAACAGCCTGAAGTTCTTCACATTTCCACAGTGAATTATTGGTTTAACCTGTTGTAGTTCCTCTGCAATGATGACTGACACTGGACACTTGTCAGCAAGATGTGATCTGAAATATGCAGAACACTTAAATAGTATAGCAAAGGAAAGGAAATCATGGCAAGGTCTGGACAGTTAGATTAGTTTCCTTGAGTGCATTGAGGCTACCTACATGTGTGGAGTTAAGTACCCTACAAAGGATAAGCATATACAAATTAAAGTGAAATTCTGTATCTACTAAAATTCAAGGGAACTTTGTTATGGGCTGAAATGAAGTGAGTTTTTCCCTTAGACCAGACAGAAAAATAACTTAAGAGTATTACAGGAGAAAAAGCTGTATGATTCACGGTCTTTAGAGGGAAAAA